TCTGTTAATATTTATCTATGTGAAGAAAGTATGACGTAAAATGTAATTGTATAATAAACAGAACTCAAATTAACCGTTTACTATTGCAAATTTGTTAAATAAATACATTTTAAGAATATTTTGATGCTTAACACCTACATTTTAATTTAATTATAACAAATAATTTATCGTTCTTCTAATATTACTGTTTCTTGTGGACAAAACTTCAGTTCCATTAATGTCAATTTTGAATCCATAGATGTTAACTGTAATAAACAATACTAGTTTTGAAACTCTTATATGATAAAATGCTTATATTAAATGTTATTTAAAAAAAAAAATGAATATATCAAATATAGGATATTAAAACCCAATACTTTAGAGATTAATTTAATCAATTAATAAAAAAAGTAACTATAAGATAAGAACTTAAATTGCTTACATGATCTACTTACATCCCTTCGAGGCCAACTAGAAAGAACTTTGTATTCTTCCGTAGGATAACCTTCCACAATTAAAAAATTAAGGAGTGTTTGAAGTGGTGTATCTGGCTGAAATCTACGTTCAAGAAATTTTCCAGCTGGAAGCCTTACTCTTACTTTGAGAACACCATCACCTGCATTTTGTTGGGGTTCAGGAGGTAAACTAGATTCTATTGCTTGTCTATGAGCTTCCTTCCTTGCTTCTTCAGCTAACCTTTCATTTTCTGCCTGTTCCTTTCGTCTTTTTTCAATCTCTTCTTGCATCTGTTTTGCTTCTTCTTTTGCTCTATGAAATATATGTTTATATAAATAAATATAGCTAGTACAGATGAAATATTTCACTCTCTGTCTATTATAAATTACAATAAATTTATATGATTCTATTTACCTATCTGCAGCCAAACTTTCTTGATAGGCTCTATCTTGTTCTTGTTTGACTTTTTCTCTAGCTTGTCTTTCTTCTTCTACACCAATATCGGTACGTCTTTGTTCCTATATCCAAAGAATATTAATTCAAAAATTTTTTTATATATAATATGTTTGTTCAGATATGAGTAAATTTTAATATTTACCTGAAAAACTTCAATTGCTTGAATTAAATTAGTAAGTAATTCATTAACTCCCACATTACCGTGTACAATGGTAAATATTTCTGTATTTGATCTAGATCTCATTATTATCATAAGAACTGGTAAAGTGTCAACATCAATATTTCTCACAGTTAGTGCAGCAACAGATCCAAGTGTGTGATTCACTGATTCCAAAAACCTATATAAATCAAATAAAATATTTTATAAAGGTCATCACTGGGATTAATTCTATTAGAAGCATGAATACAATTTATATACCTTTGTTTATTAGATTCATATGTGATATCCCAACCCCAAACAATAAAATGTTCAGAAAGTAATGGAAGTACTGTTCCAAAGCCTAGTAATTCCGTGCAAAATACATTTGCTAACACACTATTATCATGATGTAAATATACAGCTAATAATTTCCTCTAAAACGATATACACAGATTTTATTTCTAATGCTATATTTATCAGATTAAATTTATATGTTGAAATATATATTACAAACCTCCTTTGCAGGCTTTAAACACGATTCTTTTATAGCATCTTCAAAGGTGCCAGTAAAAAATTCTGGATGATTAAGGCCATAACGCTTTTCATATTGTTCTGCAAAGTGTAATGTACCCACTATTTCATCTTCTACATTTTCTGGCACTGTCAAATAAAGATTGAAAAAAAAAGATGAATGTAATAATATAAAATAAATTATATTTTCATTAATTCTTTAATATACTTACTAAGACGTTGTATTTTGGTAGATCTAATGTTATCTATGAAAATATCATCCTCAACATTAAATGACTCAGGAACATCAAATTCTTCCACATCTTCTGGTTCATCTATAGAACTATCACTGTCAATTAATTCTACAACATCCTAAAATCATAAAACATATTATTTTAATCAAAACGTTTTATTGCTCATTCTAAAAACTTAATTTATCATATGTATAATGTAATTAGAAATTTGAAAAAAAAAGAAAAAGAAAAATAAGAAAATAGAACTTATTAAATTATAAATTTGAATAATTTATCTTTTATTATTTATTTTACGCTTAATCTTTAATTTATATGTTATACTTTTCTAACTTTTATTTTAAACTGTATTATTTGATTTATTGAGCATAAATTTATGATTACTTTAATTTCATATATGAACATTTATGATTGCATAATAAATCTTAACAATATAAATCTTAACATAATAAATATTAACAATATATATTGTAGGATAAATAATATAATGTGAATCAAAATAATGTGGTATGAATAGTTAGGAAATTACCTTTTTTTCTTCTTTAGAAGGAAGCTTACTAACAGATAGATCATGTTCTGGATAATGAATACCACTTCGTGCCAGTATTACATTATCATCTGTCAATAAGCTGGGCCAGCCTTTCCATTGTTGATGTCGAACAGGCACATCAATCAATGAGTATATACTTGTTTTGACATCTAATATCGTGTGTGTTCCAGGAAATTTTAATTTATATGATTTATTATGTACTTCATCTTTGATGTTTAAAGTATAAGTTAGTGTGATACGATCCGGCAAACATACGCTTAAAAATAAAATAATTTTATAAGAAACAATAAAAAAAATATATATAGTCTATAAAAAATAATTTTATACTATATACATTTCTCCTGTTAAATCCCAGGTGTCTGAAAGAGATGTCACGGATAATGTATTTTCTCTTGGTAATTCTAATGTTTGAAGAATAGTAGAATTTGTTTGGGGCCCCTTTTTCCATCCATGTATAAGTTGTTGGCATGGTGCAATATTTGTTTTTTTCCGTATAGACTGCTTAAGTTCACCTAATATTTATTTTTATATCTTAGATAATACTGACATCATTCAATATTTTATAACAATATTAATGATATATAAAATAGGATTATAAAAGAATATATATTTAAATACATACCTACGGTAGATAATTCAGATAGATCTATCTTATAAGTCCTGTTTAAATGATTAATATGGAATGTTATCATCTTAGCAGGCGCATTACTTTTTGATTGACTCGTTCCAGGTTTAACATTTTCTATTATTTCTGACTTTGCAGTTTCAGCATTTTTTAAAGAACTTGTTTGCGTTATTATCGAAGAATGAGGTATACTTCCTATTTCTTCTATCATTTCTACTTCAGGACCCATGTCAAATGGTAGTTGTTGGGTACCTCGTGGCATTGCTTGATTTACTGCTGCCTACATATTACAAAAATATATTTATTATTGTGTATAATTTATTTACAAATAATAACATATATATATATATATATATATATATATATATATATACAATGATTATAATCTTGTATGATAAAATTTACCAATAAATCCCAATTCGTTCCTTCCAAATACAGAATAGCTTCTCCAACATCATCAATTCCTGTACAAGCCTATAGAAATACAAAAAAAACTTACAAGTTAACAAATGAAATTAACAAAATTTGGATCAAATTTATAACTTCATTTATTCCTTATATATTTCTTCATATACATAATTATATTATATATAATTAATATAAAAATTTAATCTGATTTTTATAAGAAAAAAAAGAAAAAAGAAAGAAATAAAAATAAAACAATATTATTGTTTATAAAAAATATCAATTAATAATAAATATAATGATAATAGGAATAGAGCAATGTAACATAAAAATTTTCTACGATTAATTGTCATTATCGAAATTGTCAAATTTTATTTAAACGAAAGTGAAAGAAAACTTCTTTGTTTTTAATCTCTATTTTCAACTATTGCCAATGTCATCCAGAAATGTTACCATAACCTTAAATCATAATCTAAATTTTTTAATAACCCTTAATATAAAGTTTCTCCTAAATTACCTGAAAATCAGCTAAAATCATTTCTCGGTTTTCAGCCATTATGATGTAGTATATAGGTATAGACGTGAAAAAATCTTTATCAAGAATCAAAACTTTATCCTTTCTTCTTAAAATTATTACAAAGAACATGCACAACAAATTCAAGCCATCAATGTCTTAGACATCACAATACTTGAGTCGAAACGAATAGCTTATACTGTTTATACATTTTTTGCTAAATCAAACAATTGTTCGTATATTGGACGACGTACTGAAATTTATTTCACTTTTCTTTAGACACATATGATTGGTTGAACTTTATTGTTTTAACAAATGTCCAATCATAAATGTTGATTTTATTAAGAAACTTGACAACATGATGCAACTCTATTGATTAAACTATTTTGATTATTTGTGTATTAAATATACAAATTTTTTAGATATTTTTCATAATAACAAACATAAATATATATACGATGTTTTATATAATCATTTTAAATTAAAGAAATTTCTTTTTGATTAGTAATTTTTATAATAAATTTCGATAACATATCAATCTAAAGTATAGATCTAATAGTAGTGCACAAACATTAATCGGTTTGAAATGAAACGTTTAATTGTTCATCAACATTTTGTTCATTTCTTTTTGATCCTTCGATTTTTTCATTCGCTTTTCAATCTATGGAATATGTATAAATTTTTGTTTATTATACCTTCTATCAGCATTTTTTCTATTTTTTTCTATTCTTATAAAAAATATATAATAAATACTCTTTACTATTATTTTTTTTCATTTTTTCAAATTCAAATATCAAATATGTCCAAATTTCGGAATATGATTTAAATAGATTAACAATTTTAATTTCTATTGTTTCTCATTGTTTTATTCTTTATGGGACAATTATATAATTGTTATAATTATCTAACATAAAAATTCTTTAGTTCATCGCAATTATAAATTTTTTGTTGTACAATTGAACAACTTGTATATACGATATACGTATATCCTCCAATGGCGATATTTCGTGCGATGTCGGAAAAGAGAATAATATTTTTTAATATTGAAATATGTCTTTTACGTATATGTATATAAAATTCAATTTTTCTTAAATTGATATTATATCAATTTATTCAAAATTATATGAAATGCTTAAAGTTTATGAATAAAATATAATTATTTGCAATTATTGTGATTATTCTAAATTGTGAAAATCCTATATATATATATATATATATATAGGATTTTACTTTACAGTTTTTGTGTATCTTAAAGCAAATCATTATTTATCATATTAAACACTTGTATTGAATGTATAAATAAATGCAATAATAATGAAAAATTTATTGAAGGAATGCAAATTCGATTGTAGGTTAGTTTTATACTTCAATTAATATTATTAAATCAATGATATTTCTTTGATAATAATTCTTTCACTCTCTAAATGTATATTTTAATTTATATATATATATATATATATGTATGTATTTTTTTAAATTATTTCTTTACAATAGTTTATATAGTATTAATGTAAATTACTAAAGTAGACTGTAAATTATTAATACATTATTGTTCTAAATATTTATTCTATGCAGGGTTAGTTCGGTAATAAATAAAGATAATCGAAATTATGGAAAAAAATATATGTTTGATGATTCCAATGAAACATGTTGGAATTCTGACGCTGTAAGTAAATAATTATATATGTTTAAATACAAAAAAATTTAATATAAAGTTTTAGAATTTGAAAAGTGTACAAAATATATATATTTAATATAACATTGTTATACATGTCACAGGGCACACAACAATGGATAATAATTAATTTTGAAAAAACTTGTATTATATCTGGATTTGAAATTGAATTTCAAGGTGGCTTCGCTGGAAAAGATTGTTATGTAGAAATTAATGACAGTAATGGTAGCATAGTTATTGCTGAACCCTTTTTCCCAAAAGATACAAATGGAGTTCAATGTTTTGTATTGAAAACTACAGTTACAGGAAAATCTTTCAGATTACTATTTAATGAAAGCACAGATCTTTTTGGTAGGATTATCGTTTATAAATTATCTATATGTTCATGATATACATCAATTTTGTTTATAAATTAAAATATATGAATAAAAGCAATTTTATTTTTATTCATGTACATGTAAATTATTCATGTTCAATAAAAAAATCTCTATTATTATAGAATACATACTCTTTATTATTTATATAAAATTTGTTTTTTACCATGAAAAATATTTCTAATACAAAAAATGTTATGACATTGAAAATTGAAAAAATCATGCATGGTTAGTTAGTTCTTTCTATTCGTAATCTATGACAAAATTAAAAACCCTTTAATGTTAAATATAATAAATGCGATAAATGCAAAAATATTCCTAATAAATATATTAATGAAAACGCAATAAAAAAAAGAGAAAAATTTATGGGAAGAAATGAAAGTATAAATATGGTTTTACTTATTACTTATTCGGTTTCCTATCTTATAGTATTATAACTACTGCCTTTGTTTTGAAATTTCAAACCGGTTAACGTTATTTGTATTGGGTTATAAAGTATTATGTGTGATAAGTACAGTTGATACAAATTTGGTGTAGGATTAAGTATCAAATAAATTTTATATTAAAACTTTTATTTTAAAGAATCGTTCATTTTGATTAACATATATAATGACAATAAACACGTATTTTTATCGCAATGTACTTCTTTTAACGCAAGTAATTCCAACGAGTAATGAGTTTAAATTACACTTTCATGAGGTACATATTACAATGTATTTTATTAATTTATTTATTATTATTATTATTATTATTATTATTATTATTATTATATTAAAAAGATTAATATAAATTTTTTTTTTTTAGGGAATGTTTGACAAACCAAATACAATTGGATTTATGCATGTTTCACAATATTTATTGACAATATATGATTTAGAGCGTTTTAAAAAATTAATTCAGTGGCCAGTAACATGCAAAAAAACAGAAGTCAAATATCGTAATAATGTTAAAGATTATTTAAATCAAATAGCAAATGAAAACCTTGATATCGATTTTCCTCCTATTCTTACTTCTTATTTGGTTCGTGCTCATGGTACAAAATTTACGATTATTATGTGGAAACTTTCTATAGTAGTGTTAAGAACTTACATTAAGAAAAATTGTAAGTATCTATTTGTTCGTATACAATATCTCAATGTTTATTTTTTATATATAATGTGTATGTTAAAATCCTTATATATAATATTTACAAATTGTATATCTTCTATGATATTACATACTTCTTACAAGAAGAAATAATTCGATAATTATTTAAATAACTAATTCTTAATTAAATCTTTTGATTTGCAGACGACCCAAACATTTTTTATGCACCGCGTCTAGGTCCTACAAAAGAATTGATAAAAACAACTCTCCAAGGAATAAATAAAGATATGATTTCCAGTGTCATGTCTCATCATAGAAATATGAAAAAAATGAAAGAAACATCTAAAATTATTATGGTGTAATTAATCTTTTCATTTATATCATTTAATTAACTTTGGAACATTTTTTATTTGTTGCATTTTTGCTCCAGGGAAGAAAAAGAAACCTTAGCTAATATAAAACAAGAACTTTTTGAAAACAAACAATCCATGTTAAATCTGACATCTAATGCTCCAGTTGACTCGAGCATAAAAGAGTGTTTAGCAAATATTGAAAATACAGAAATTATACAATGTATGTATATTTATATAATATAGATAGTATTGAAACAAATTTAACACATATCATATGATCATTTTTTATTTATTTTTAGTATGGAAACAAAATATAACTGAAAATTTATCATATATAAGAAGGAAACATAAGATTTTCAAAGATGTACAAATTCTTAGTAATAAAATTACTAATATGATTACTAGTATAATTGGTGGTGCAGAGATATTAGATGCACAGCAAGTTGTAAAAGTACATTCGTCTACAATTGCGCTGCTTCCACTATCAACAAATATACAAGTAATGCATAAATATTGTGAAGAATAGAATTTATCCTAGATAACTATGTTCTAATAGTCATACTTCTTTCAGTATCTTCTTCATCATTTGTATGTAAATGATAAATTAATGTTACGTAATTTTATTGAATTATTGAATTTCTTGTTGTGCCAAGCATACCAATGCTTAAAGAAAAATGGCTTGAAAGATTTATCTAAGTGCCTTGTACAATTAGAAGCTAGCCAGGAAGATATAAAATCAGGAATAAAATCATTTCAGAATTTAAGAACAAACATAGAAAGTATTTCAAATAATTTAAAATTACACTTTTATCAAAAAAAAATAAATGAAACCTATCAAGAAAACATTTCAGCATTGGAAAATATTGTTTTTTCTTCATCTCCAGTTATAACAATTAATACCAATTGTCGCGATGAAGGAAATGATGTATTAAGGAGATTAGAACTTACGCCAATAGAAGGTAAATTATTAATTTTATCTGAAATGCTTGTTTATATTGTTATGATTTTCATAAAAAAAATCTATTTTAAATTATTTACAGGTGCACACAGATCATTATTTTCCAGATATAAACGACAACATGGCAATACTAATTTATCTGTTTCACAATTGAGAACAAATTTGTTAGTATCACGAATTAATTTTGATGATACTTTGTCTTTAAATAATAGTGATAAAATTTCACAAGCTCACTCGTATATACCTAAAACAAATTTATTATCAACTAAACATACAGGGAAATATTCACGTTTATTTTTGTCATATGCAAAGAAACCCAGTGAGAAAGGTAATAAAAATTTTTTTTCATTGGCGATTAGTAAAGATAATGATTAATAATATCTTATTTTTATTTGTGTACAAGTAGGTAACTGTAGTATAAGCTCTATACCACATTCTATAAAAGCTAATTCTACTACTATGACAAATACAGAAGGAGAAACACATAATATGTCACAATTTAGTCTTAGAAATACTACAAAGAGCTTCTTTGATCTTAGAGAAGTAATAATACCTGAAAAATTTAATACAATAAATCAATTAAAATCTCAATATGTTCTCAAAGAGACTAACAGTTTACATAATGATCAATATGAAATGGATAATGAAACTGAAGATGATAATCTAACCAATATTAAAGATAATGTGTCTATCAATGTTAAAGATGTATCAAAAAAAAGAAGATCCATCAGTGATTTAGTACAACGTTATAAAAAAGTATTGGAAATTACTAAAGAAAATATAGGGTGTGAGAATTAGATATATCTTTTATCATATATCATGATACATAAGGATAGAAGTTCAGTTTTTATACAAAATTTATATATAATAAATTTTAAAGTTTTATAAAATATATAAAACGCTTATTTTTTTAAATCGTTTTCAATCATACTCTATTAGAGGAATTCATTATTGTATAATATATTTATAAGAAGTTGTGCATTATATATGTAAATGTTATGTTTTATAGAAGGTTCATTTATACATAATGAGACAGAAGTTGCATATTTGTTTAATTTCTTCTATTCATCATATTATATCTGTCTACAATTCATTTTATAATACATCATAATATTATTATTCGATGACATTAATATTATTATTGTTATTGACTAATAAAAATATTTTTTCAAGACATGCAAATATATACTGTACAAAATTTGTAGTAAAATATTAAGATATTACAGATCTTGTTTTTAATTTGCGGCAGTTAAAAAATACTTTGACCTTATAACAAATATATATGTTCTTTATATATATATATATATATGACAAAAAGTGAAATTTTTCAAGTATTTTGTATTAAGTTGTTGCTTATTTTCTGTTGTACTTTTAGATAAAAATTAAAATTAATATAATCCAAAAAAAAAAAAAAAAAAAAAAAAATGTATATTTGATAGACGATCTCTCAAGGATGCAAAAAAAATCGTTCATCCATTTGACGAAGAAATTTTGACAAGCGCATGAAATACGATAGAAACTATGTAACAACCTAATAATATTAATGATACATCACATCTATTTTTTAATTATTATAAATTATAAATTTACATTATATATATATAATATATATATATATTTTTATTACCGATAGGATCAATCACATCACATTTTTTTATTACCGTGAAAAAATTACTTACAAGAATAAATGTATGATTGTATTTCGCAATATCATTCTTATATATTTAATCATCTAAAAGGTAATACACAAAAATAATTGTGAACATATAATTGCCCTATAGAGCACAATTAATCTGTTAAATTATTATATATACATATATATATATATATATATATATATATATATATATATATATATATATGTATATATTTTGAGTCATAATTATTTCTATTTTATGCAGTGTTCTATAACATTTTAATGATAAACTATCATTAGAAAATTAAAACTGATAATTAAAATCGAAAGTAATTTGGAATCAAATTTACCTTTTGATATATATACCTCATTATATAACAAGAATGTTTTATATGGAAAGGCACTATATGGTATCATTTATTTGCTATGATAGGAATGACAAATTATATAATAAAGGAAAATGTTTAAAAATAATTTCAATTTTGTTACTTTAAAAAAAATCTCTTACAACGATAACATATAAAGTGGTATTTTAAAATTGCTTAACACAAAGTCCGATGTTATAAGACCTATTTAAGGTTAAAAGTGTTTCACAAAAGCACTATCAAATAAATTATTTATACATGAATTATTTATGTTATAATTTTATAAATATTATATGAACCATCTGTAAAAAAGACATCTATCCATTTTTACAAATTTTAATGTTTTTAAAAATTTTTCAAAAAATTTGATTTAGTATAAATTTGAGTATAAATCTGAACTTAACATGATGCGCATTTTAAAATATGTTTCTTAACAATTTTTTATGTAACCATTTGTTTTTTCATTGAGCCATCTTCATCGAGCGAGCGTTGAATAAAATTTAGGCTGTAATAAAAATACATGTGTTATTGAAACTAAAATTATTAAAAGAAAAACATCAACATATATACCTTAAAAGAAAAAGACATTGTTATATTAAATTTACACAGAAATTTCAAATTATACATATTTATATTCTTACTTCATCGTGACTTTCATCTTTATTTCCCTCGTCTTCGTCGCCAGAACTATCACCTCCTGAACTGTCTGCGGAATTACGTTGTTGATCTTTATTGTTTATACTGTCAATATTAACTGGAGTTGATGCTTTAACTTTACTAGCTGCATCATAACACTGCAAACATACGCGGACGGCCTTTCCATTTCCTTGTCCAGGTAATAACAACTTCTTATTGCTACAAGGACCACATACTACTGCTCCACATTGTCTACAATGATGCTGTGAAGACAGATTATAATTTGCATAAAATTTTTATCACATATAACGTATAGATTCAAATTGTATTTTTGATTTAAATGTATAAATGAATAACTGTACCCGTCTATTTAAAACCGTGAATTGTGTGTTTTTACAATGCATACAGATTGGTGCATCATTATCCGGTACCCACACTGCTGCATGAACTTCTACTGGTTTTTTACCGCCTATTAAAAGCAATTAGTTCTAAATTATTGAAAAAACTTAATACAAATAAACAATTATTTAAAATTAATTTATGTAACTTCTGTAATTATTTTTCAGATTATTTAAACTTGAATATTAAAGTGAAATAATGTTACCTACTCTTTCTTAATAAATCCTCAATACATTTTGTAATATGTGCCATCCATTCTTGCTTTTCTGTTGCAGTAGCAGCATAAACAGCAAACGACTTTGTTACTGTTTTAATGAGCCAGCCATTGCGATATTCTATAAATAATGATTAATTACTATTCTATTTTTACCTAAATTTAAATTCTTGCAAAAGTTGCATATTATGCAACTAATTAGTACCTGAAGTATAGTCCCTGAAAATGTAGTAATTGAAACCAGAAATCTTTCTGTTTTTAAATGAATATTTTATAATATCGATAACATGACAATAATACAAACGAATAATTTACCAGTATAAGTAAAATTTTACATATTATTATTATAAAATCAAAGAAATAAATAACAATTTATAATAATATTAATATTTCAAAGTCGTACAAAAGAAGATATAAGCAATATTGTTAATACTTTCGATGAAAATATTAACTATTTTAATTATAGTCAAAGAGATAATCAAACGATACGATAAAGTTTGTAATATGAAAAAACATTTATAAAATCAAAAAAATAAAAAAATATATATATTTATATTATGCGCAATTAGATTTTAACTTACGACCATCATCAGCTAAAGATTCAAGTTTCACTTCCTCCAAAGGTATAATATGCTGTTTGTTGTACTGTCAACATATATAAAAATCAATTACATTTAATGATTCTAGGTAAAAATAGATATATGTTATCTCAATAAAGTTAAGGTAAATAATATTAATCATATAAGAATTTTTATATTTACCTTTTTCTTATTAATTACTATGTTCCCGTATACTAATATATCATTAAATAAAAAGAACTGTCTAGGCTTGGCTTTCTTTCTGCACATTTTTGTCAATACACCTTCTCCTACAAGAACTCTTCCAGGTACTGCCAGTGGCTAGAGAGAAATAATGCAGAAAATTTTGTTAATATAATTATAATTATACATAATAAATTAAATCATGATGTTTTATAATATAATATAGACGATAAACGTGAAAGAAGTTTGGTTCAGTCGAAAAAATAGTTTACAGAATACGATAAAAAAGATAAGTTCAAAAAAAAAAAAAAAAAAACAATAAAATTTGTCTTTCGTCATTATTTGGCTTATCGTATTAATCATACCTGGCCCGAACTGCCGAAGCAGTTTTCCACCATCGCGATGCGTCTTGCATTGGCTTCGCTGTTTACTGTAACAAACGGAATAACACAAGATTGTGTGATAATTGAATAAATAAATTATAAAAAAAAAAAATAGATATTGTATCTATAAAATAATAAGGTTATGGTTTACAATATTTTGCGGTAACGACACATTTTACGTGTAAATGTCAAAATCACACAACCCACTTAAATACGCCATTATCCTTTATGATTAGCATATATCCTCGACAAACTAAACAATATAAGTCAATTGATCATTAAAACTAAAAGAAAACTTAGAAAATTTAAAAGACATCTCGCGGTTTAATCGAATTTCTTGAAAACGTAGAGATATTAATTAAAGAAAAATAAGTAGTACACAAACTAACCCAATCGGTCAACCATGATCCTATGAATCAGGGCTGGCAACAGCAGGAAGCATGAATCAGACCGCTATTAATCGTAAAGACGATTGTGTGAATACCCTTCGATAGTAATAAGGTTGTTCATCATCTTTCGCTCGTAGCATATGCAACTTCAGCGACAGATATGGATAAAATATGAACTATAAGTGCAATAGGGAAACTTTCGCACAATTATGTACCTATTGTATGGGCGTATAAGTCTGTATGAATAATATTCTTATTGAGCCTATATTGTAATCTAGTTAACAATCTATTAGCATATAAAAGAAATTTTTTTATTTAGTAAAAATAGTAGTACATCTAATTTAAATTAAAATAATTAAATTAATATAAAATAATAAAATATGTCAGATTATACTTTTCTAAAGATAGATTAATTGAAAAGTATTTGTTAATCGTGCAAATTGTATATTTTTTATTTCTAGTCGAACTTATACGAATAATTGAAGAAATAAAATCTCTGATGAATATCTTGAATTTTGAAATACGTGGATATGACGGCGAACATAAGTAGAATATGTATGTAAAAAGAAATTTTTCAAATTACTGACCATATTCATTGTATTTTATTAATATTTTAACAGAACCTTTAAAAGTTACTATTTTATTCCATGATTTTTCTCTGGAAAGGAGAATAGAAAGTTTATTTAATTTCTCGTATTTTCATATTATTTAAATAAAAAAATCTAAATTTACCGAAAGTATTAATTTGGAAATTGTAACGTTTGGAAAGTGAGCAGTTCGATCTTTACTCATAATTCAAAAGAAAAATGTTTCGATACAGTCAAAGTCAATGAAAAGTTTGTTTTTGTTGACGTAAAAAAGTAACGACCGCGCATTAAAATTTCAACGATATTTAAATATTAATTCCATTCTATTATTTTTATATCAAAATTAAAATTATTTTATATTTAGTGCGTATTAGCTAGATAATGTTTAAACGACTGTACATCGTTGTTTAAATATTAATTTAATGTATTCTTTGTACATTACAAATCATTTAAATAATTCTGAAATTTATTCGTAAGATCCATTAATACGAACGATTAAACGACGTATTAACTTATTTTTACTATAGAATCATCAGTTGAAAGCTCATTAAAATGATTGAATAAATTACCGTAAACTACTTTCTGTGTGAGCATGGCGAAATGCTTTTTCTTGCGCAGAAAATCTAAGCATCGGTATACGTAATCATCTGTTTCACAGAAACAAACCACACTCATACATCGTTCTAACGTTTATATAAAAATTTGTAGTGGGAATAGGAGCTTCTTCTTTTTTACCGCAAAGTTCAAGGGGCGCCACCATACGAAACTTTTTTTCCACGAAAAATGTCGAAAACAGCGTTTACATCAACAGCGAGACCAGATGTCTTTCTTGAACGATTTTGACGAACAAAATCTCATTTTAAAGATGAAGTTTTAAACGAGAACATGGTATTCTCGAATTTTTCAAAAAGTTTTATTTTTATGCAAAAATTATTATTGAAAATAGACCATTTTTTGACACAATTTTTTTTGAAGATAATAAAGTTTTTTCAAAAGTTCAAGAAAGCCATGTCCTCGTTTGTACTTTCATCTTTAAAAAAAATCTTGTTAATCAAAATCGTTCAAAAGTTACGCCTGTATTCATTGTTGGCGTAAACTATTGTAAAACCAGGGATGTTGAACAGCCTTAATTAACTTTGACTTTCTTTGATGATAACATATGTTTTCTATTGATATGTTAAATGTAAGATTATATGTATAACATATCGTAATCGCATTTATATTTTTATTTTTTAATAATAGTAATCCATGTTGATGTTTTTTTTTTTTATAAAAAAAGGAAAAAATACGCTATATAATTAGTTTGGTTATTTTTTTTGTAATAAAAATTTAAATTGATGAAAAATGATCATAACTGATCATTATAACTAATAATATGCATATATTTTAATCGGTATATAATCGTTGCTGTTTTTTAATTTAAAGAATACCAATTCTTTATTTCAAATAACGGAAACGACAGTGTCGCTTAGTATCGATAGTATGACGTATCGATCGAAATCATATGATTGTCGAGGGCGTAGCATTATTAAATCTACCAGTGACCAAGATTAGTGTAATTGTCGTGAGGTTACTTTGCCAAAGAGCAAAGTAACAAATTTATTAATATCATGAAAGTATGTGGTCCGAAATATGCCCTATGCGGCTTAGTACTTTCTGTATGGGGTATATTCCAATTGGTGAGTTATTTAATATGAATATTTTAAAAAGGATTTTATATTTCAAATATTTTTCTAATCACATTAAAGTTTTCATTGTATTTGAAGTTTTTGTATACATTTAAAAATATTTTATTTGTAAAAACGTTTATTTAGAATATTATTTGATTGCGGCTGATATTATTATTTGACTTTTTCCAGGTCCTGATGGGAATATTTTTTTATATAAAAAGCGTAGCTCTGGTAGAAGATTTGCCCTTAGAAGGAAAATATTTTTCTAATAAGGATGAATTTTATACGGAAGCAGAAAGGGGCTATACGCAAAATGCATATAATTGCTGGATTGCAGCATGTATTTACGTTCTTACATTCTTATTCTCCGGATATCAGTTTTATTTAAATTCACGATCCTCCCTTAGTGTTTAAGAATATATTGTAAATGAAGTAACAATGCTGTTATAGAGTAATATAATGTACTTGTATCAAGTGATTTATTATCCAAATTATATTATATTCTATTTAGAAAAACAGAAAATATCAAGAAGAACAATAATTTGATTATGCTGTTATGAATATCTAATTTTAAAATACATTCCAAGTTTACCAAATAATGTACAAAATTGATCCTGTATATGCGTGTATGTAATTACATTTTATTGTGTATTAAGAAATGGATATTATAAGTTATAGGCCATCTTTTCCAAGATTTACAATACATATATAAAATGTGATAAATTACAAATTCGTATTTTATCTAGTATATTAACTATTGTAATGTAAATATACGTAAATAATACAATTTTTGTTGTATTTTCTCTTTGAAATTTTAATATGTTCGGCTGTAAGGATTATTAAAAGGGTAAAAAATAAATTTTAATAATCATAATTAATTTATAAGTAGTTTATAACAATTATATAACAATTCACAATTTTTATAATGTTTTAGTTTATTGTTACGAATGTAGCATAAAAGCAATAACAATATGGCATAATTTCGAAATGATTAATTGCTAATGAACAAGCTGTAATAATAATATAACTTTATCTTTATAATTTTATTTTAATTCTTTTTTTTGAGCCAGTATAAAAAAATTTTTTGAAATAAATTTTTTTCGTGAAACTGTTTTCGTTAGTTTTGTCCAATCAATGAAAATCCATCTTAAGTCACGTGAGTGTTGTATATATGGTGGACGCATCGAAAAATTATGTTCATATCAGATATGAATCATTGAATTATGATGTGAAATTAATTCCGTTGTTTTATTTGTTACTACTTCGCAAAATTAAAGGTATAATTATAAATATATTCATACAAAATGAAGGAATTATCTTGTGTGTACAATTTTTGAAACATAATTATTATGAGATTAATATAGTGAAATCGTTACTTCATTTTGCTTGAAATGAAATAAAATTGCAAATAATTATTACTTTTGTTTATATTATATAGGAACAGCTAAGACTTTCTTCTTATAATGCAGACTAATCGAGATGTATTGATCAATGATTATACAGAGATAGTTCAACGTCTACCTGTTACTTTGAGATTAGCCTACGGAGTAGGACATGTTTTAAATGATATTTGTGCTTCCATGTGGTTCACATATTTATTAGTATATTTTCATTTTGTATTGGGATTTAGTGCGACTCATGCAGGAGTACTATTACTTATTGGCCAAGTAGCAGATGCAGTTGCCACTCCATTTGTTGGCTTACATTCTGATAAAAATGATGATTTTTGGCTTTGTAAATATGGCAGAAGGAAAACATGGCACTTACTAGGTATGTCAAATTCTTTATAAAGAAACTTATTGATTATAAATTATTCTATATAATTTTTTTATTTATATATAAGTTTCTTATTTCATTCTATATCAATATGTTATTGTTTTTTTTAGGCACTATTTGTGTGTTTTTAACATTCCCTTTCATATTTTCCCCGTGCATTAATTGTGAGAATGCACATCAGTGGGCACAATTAATATATTATGCTGCTTTTATTATAATATTTCAATTTGGTTGGGCAGCAGTTCAAATTTCACATTTATCATTGGTTGCTGAACTAACACCGACTGACTATGAAAGAACAGAACTTATAGCCATTAGGTAATGTTTCGATTTTTACCAATAATCTTAAATTTACTTAAATATTTTTAATTTTAAATACTCTTTGTATCTGGAAATAGATACAGTTTTACAGTATCCTCGAGCATTCTTGTTTATTGTACTACATGGGGATTATTGCATATAACGAATAATGATGATCCTGATGCTCAAATTGGACCTAATGATGCTCATAAATTTCAAACAATTGTATTCTGTGTAACAGGAATTGGAATTTTTACTTCTTTTATATTCCATATTTTTGTTAAGGAGGGTAATATCAATAATTCGGATGGTAAGATATTTGTGTACAATTTACAAGATTTATATTTCGTTTCTAATATGTTATATTATATAATCAATATTTTTTAGGTTCCTTACGTCGTAACACAAGACCTATATCAGTATTATTAAAAAATATACAATTATACCAAGCAGCATGTATTTATATGCCAACACGACTGTTTGTAAATTTGTTACAAATTTATATACCTTTATATTTACATGAGTTTTTAAATATGCCAGCTACATTATTAGCTATTATACCATTGACTATGTTTATTAGTAGTTTTTTAACATCCTTAGTTATAGA